AAAAAAAAAAAAAAAAAAAACAAGTGGAAATAAAGCAGCCAATAGTCATGTTTTACAATCAAGTCATGATAACAATACTTATTAGTTCACCAATGTTTTCTATCTTTTCTTTCGCCAAGGCTAGGCTGTGTTTTTTTCTCTCTCTCTCTCTCTTCCTACCTATCTATATATATATATATATAGATAGCTGGATATAGTGTTTCTTAAAGCACACGGAACCTGGATCTGGCCCTCCAGGAAGCGGCTCTCACCCATATCCGGCATGGAGATGCCTTGGACAAGGAGCCGGGGAGGATCTGCGGGTTTAGGGCTTCGAGTCGTAGGGTTTGGGGTTCAGGGTGTGTTTGAAGTTGGGTTGCGGGTTTAGGGTTTGGGGCTATTTTTTCTTAAAGTGTAGTGGGTTTGGGGTGTATGGCTTAGAGTTTGGGGTTTAGGGTTCAGGGTTTCGGGGTTAGAAGGCTTGAAAGAAGAGGGCTAAGGGCTGAGGGGTATCGCTTTTGACATGTAGGTTAATGGAAGGGTTGAGGTTTCGGGAGTTGGCTTGTGTAAAAACAATGATCAGAACAATAATAACAACAATAAGACTAATTGTTCATATTGAGTACAATTCTATAATAATAAACACAATCATAGTAACAATAACAATAATCACCAAAATGAGGCGTTCGGTTGGAGGCGTCCAGGATTGCCAGTCCGGTCTGAGACGATGGCCGCGACGACGACGATGACGACGAGGGCGACGATGATGATGATGATGAAAATCAGGAGATTGGGGTTCAGGGTTCAGGGTTTTGGGCTAGGGGTTTAGGGAATGGGGTTTAGGGTTTAGGGTTTGGGGCTTGGGGCTTGGGGTTTCGGGATGATGGAGGCGGCTGCGGATCAGGGGATTAGGATGAGGATCAGGATGTGAATGCGAATAACGATCATGATGGTAATGGAGATGATGACGGTGCTGCTGATGATGCTGGCGAACATGATGAGGACAAGGATGACGAGGAGGAGGAGGAGGAGGACGACGACGACAGCAATGAAGAAGAACAAGGACCGCTTGTTCAGCTGTATATCTGAAAACATGTGTCTATTTGCAGCGCCAGGGGGGCGTTACGACAGACAAAAGGTAAATGGGGCTTTCTGAGAACTTCGGATATTCACATATGGGAATTTAGGGCCCTCATCGCTTCGGCTGGACCCGGACTTATCGCAAACACTTGCAGAAACGCCCATTTCAGGAGTTCGGGCCTTTCGGGTTTAACGTAGGGGCCTTAATAATTAGAACAGGGTTTTGGGGTATGCTATACTACAACCAGAATAAGGAACACCCAAAAATAGTATATGTAATTAGTAAGGCCCCTAAGTTAGTGCTTTTCAGGGTCAGGTCGCGCATGTTGATGCCGCTGGGCTTGCACACGGTGTTGAGCACCATGGTCTCCTTCCAGCCGACGTCGGTCCTGGTCTTGGCGACAGGTGGGATCTAGTTTCAGGTTCAAAGTGCGAGCGTTTAGGCCTTACAGCTTAGGGCGCAGGAGTCTGTAGGGCTTCAGAGGGCTCTTACATGGAGGGGTTCTCTTTTAAAGGACCTTAAGCTGCCGCATCCTACTATGTAAGCTCTATGAAGGGGTCCCGTCTCGTCTGACACCCCCCACCGTAGAACCCGAAACCCCCAAAGCCCCAAGAAAAAGCCACGGTTTAGGGATTAGGGTTTGGGGGTAGAGAATCCTCGCCAGGGTCTTTGTCGCAGCACGATGGCCCCGCAAAGGAAAGCCTCAGATAAACTTTGCAGAAGCCCGCTCTAATCTCTTAAACCGTTTGCGGTTTGGGATTCTGGGGCTTTAGGATGTAAGCTTTTGTCAAGGCCTAAACCCAAGCACCCTAAACCCTAAAGCTTTTTTGACAGTTGTCCACCCCAAACCCTTCAACACCCTAGAACATACACCCTGAACTACCCTAGCATCCCTCACCCCCAAACAGTAAAGCCGCTGGAAGATCATAACCTTAGCACGCCTTAAACCACAAAGCCAGGGGCTCCAGGGGAACACGACCACAAAGTATGAAGACCTGTATTTTAGGATTTAGGGCTTAGGGTTTAGGGTGGAGGTTCGGCTTTGGCATCCCAGTGCTCACGGCCGATGCTATGCAAGTCCCGACCATTCGGAGTACCCTAAACCCTAAACCCTAAACCCTAAACCCTAAACCCGACTAGAGCAATTTCGGTTTTGAGCAGCTGCCATGGGTAGTTCGCTAAGTTTGGGTTCCGTTTAGGGGTTTAGGGTTTAGGGTTTAGGGTTTAGGGTTTAGGGTTTAGGGTTGAACCAAGATACTACGGCACCCCTATAAAAAAGGGACCCTCATTTAGAGAACTACCCATAAAGTACCCTTATAGAAACCCTATAGAAACCCCTATAGATTATGTTAAGGAACACCCTGAAAGGGACCCGAATTTAGAGAACCGCCCACACGGCACTAATGGTGGTCCTCATCTTCAGCACGATCTTCTTCTCGTGCACATGCTCGAACATGGTGAGAGCCTTATGGCTCGAATGGTCCGTGAAGGTCAGCAGGCTCCTGCACCGAGTTTGGGGGTTTAGGGTTTAGGGTTTAGGGGGTTTTATGGGGGTCCAGGCACTGCGAGGGCAGCCTATTTTCTCGTCTATTCAGAAGCTTATTTTTGGATTACGGGCTTCTGGCGTGCTTGTGCAACTTGGCCCTAAAGCCTAAGCCGCAAGCCCTAAACCCTGAACCTCTATTGGGCTTTGAAGGCTGTCGGGGTTCTCAGGGCTTACTGTAAAGCTTAGACTCAAAGCATCAGGGAATCAAAGCAAGCAAGCATCAGAAGCAAAGGCTGCAACGAGGATACCCCCTGCCTAGAGACCCTAAACCCTAAACCAGAAACCTAAACCTTTAAACTAGACTCCAAACCTCAAGCCTTGCGACCCGAAACGCACAATCCGAAACCCCTCTTCACCTGGTGATTGCTGCATGAGGTTGGCCTCGCAAACACCCTGTGCATTTTGATGGTAAGGGTCGAGCATCTCGCAAGAATCCCGCGACTGTTTGTCTCTTTTGGTGCAGTCTGCAGGGTTTGCGGCTCGGGGTTCATATTATGAAACCGCAGACCACTTCACTTCACCGTAATGTAAGCATCTCCCTGTTTTGGTTTAGGTTTAGGGTTTAGGGTTTAGGATGGGCCCATGGGAGTCTTACAGTGTCGTCCAGGACGAGTGTTACGGTGTCGTCCAAGACGCAGTGCCTGTGCAAACCGTTCTTTCGCCTCGGAACCAAAGCCCCCTGAGTCTGTTTGCTTTTTGGTTGTGGGTGCAGCACAATAAGCTCGGGTGAACTCGAAAATAGTTTCGCTTCCCTTTGTGTCAATGCCGATGGACTGCGTGGGGAAGGATAGCCGGGTCACGTGGGTTCAGCTGGCACTGGCCTCCTGGTTTCGGTCCGCTCTACCCTAAACCCTAAACCCTGAACCCGAAATGGTGTCCTCATTACGACGGCCAGTCGCCGCAGAAGTCTCGACGGTTTTGGGTTGCCTAGTCAGTCTGGTTTCTATCTATGGTTCCGCTTGCTTTGATTCGTTCCTTCGTTTCTTGCGTCAAGCAAATACTTCCCAATCAGAACTCCCATGTTCAACGCGACTTCACTTACTTCTCTACCATTCCTTCATGCTCACCCCTTGCAGGCTTAAGCTTTTCAGGATCCTTAGGATGCCCCGGAGGGGAAGCCCAGATTTACCTTGCGCAGCTGTGGACTCTCGTAACCCCCAAAACGCTTGAAACCCTGCAGGGCCGGCTGGATGCCCGTTAAGTGGGCCTCCTCTCAGGGAAACTTAGAGGCTCAGGTGACTGAGTAGACTTAGCATGTAGGGTCCGATGTCTAAAGCAACCCTTCCCAGAAAGACTCCGAAATTCCGAAGTTCCACGTGGAAACAAAGCATCCGGCAGTCCTCGTGTTCTTCACAGGGAACCAGGTCTTGCCCGTCCTCTTGTACCATTGGCAATCCTGCTTCTTCTGCGGTGGTCGAGCTTGGGGTATGGAGGGCTTAGGGCTTACGCCCTTGCGCTTCTGAGAGCAAGGTGATACTGTTGATGGACAAAATCCTGCATGACCCTATATACCTAAACTATGGGATTTATGGTACTATACTATATTTGGGTCATGCAGAATTTTGTCCATCAACAGTAGGGCTTAATGGGGCCTTACACCAAGCATCCCGACCCCTGAACCCCAAAACCCATAGTGCTCCAGGGGTGCGCCTGTGCCTGCTCAAGGTCATCAAAACCCTGAACCTGGGGAGCCCTGAACGTAGGGTTTAGGGTTTAGGGCTTAGGGCTTATGGCTCCGGGTTTCAGACGTAGGGTTTAGGGTTAAGGGCTGAGGGCTTAGGGTTTAGGGTCTAGGGCTTTGGGACTAGGACTTAGGGATAAGGGTTTAGGGTTTCTGGTTCAGGGCTTATTCACGAATGGGTTCAAAACCAATATCTCTCCAAGACCACAACACGGAAACTACAAAAGTATTCCAAATAGCCACCGAACCCCCAAACCCTCAGAAAACAAGGCATACTTAGGTCTGAACATTATTTAAAAATAACACTAAAAAACAGTAGTAACAATGTTATTAATGATCATACTAACAGTAATAACAATAACAGTAGTAATAGCAATGACAGCACCAACAATAACAGTGGCATTAACCATAGAAACCATCGTGACGAAACCAAAAAAAGGTGGGTCTTTTCGGCTACAGCAAGTCCTGAAGCAAGCCCGGACCTCCGAACCCCAAAAAACCTTCACTGCGGAGCTCTTACAAAGCAGGCAACAAGGCACTTCACTTCTACCAGGCAGGTCCAGAAACACCCCTAAGGCCCGAAGCCCCAATCCCGAAACCCGAAACCCTACATCCCAAACCCTGAACCCCAACCCCGGGAAACCCTAAACCCCAAACCCCTAATACCCTACACCCTAATACCCTAAACCCTAAACCCTACATACCCTACACCCCAAAACCCTAAACCCCTCCCCCGCCCCGCCGATGCCTTGGAGCTAAGCTCCAGAGCCTGTCTCATGGAGCCCATGGAGCGATCCACGAGAAGGAGACCTCGGGGTGTAGGGCTTAGGGTGTGGGGTATTTAGGGTGTATGGTTTAGGGTGTGGGGTTTAGAGTTTAGGGTTTAGGGTTTATGGAGGACTCAGGGATCTTTCTTGCTCTCGGGCTGTCGGCTTGTGGCTTTCGGGTTTAGGGGCTTATGGGTTAAGGTTTAGGGTTTAGGGTTTATGGCCTGTGGGTTTAAGAGTTTGGCCTTAGGAATCATGGGTTTTGTCGCTGAGAGCTCAAACAACGCTTGAGGATTCAAGGGTGTGTGTGTGTGTGTGTGCGCTTTTCCTTAGAAGGCCTTTCCAAGGGATCCTGCAGGGGTCCGGTTTGCTTGAAGGATTTTGGTAAAAGGGCCTTTGGTTTCGTTAAGGGTCTTGAGGAGTTCTTCCTTAGGGCTGGCTTTGAGTGTCAAGGCTTGCTTGCAGTGTCTTGAGATTTAGGGGTAATCACCAGAATCGGGATGTATACATAATATATATATATATACGCACACATACATATACATATATATATATATATACATATGCGGATGCACATATCCTGGACGAAATGGGCTCACAAGGAAATTACAGGGGTTTCCTATGCAGCGAGAGGCTCTAGGAGCCGTCTTTGGCAGGGTTTCGAGAGCAGTCCTTCTTTGAGCGTCTCCGCAACACGCGGCGTCCAAGGGTCGTTTAGCGCCTTACACCCTAAACGAAGGACAGGCTCGGGGTCCTGTAGGTTTGATCAGCCATGCGCTGCTTCTTGGCACGGAGTTCAGGGTTCCATCGAGGACCTAGGGATTCTGGGTCTCAGGGTTTTTAGGGTTAAGGGTTTAGGGCTTCGGGCTTAGGGCTTAGGGCTTAGGGTTTAGGGCTTAGGGTTTAGCGGTTTAGGGTTTAGCGGTTTAGGGGTTTTGGGCTTTGGGGGTTTAGGGTTTAGGGTCAGAAGTCCAAACTTCGCTGCGGACCTGGTCACTGGGGTCAGCGTTTGGGGGCTTCAAGGAGCGCGTCTGCTTTTGGGTGTACTAGACTCAATCTTCTCTGTGCACTCTTTAGAGTCTACACGAAGGGTTCCATTTCTTCGAGGTTTTGGCCGAAAACCCTAAACCCCCAAAACATGCCCTGAACCCTAAGCCCTAAACCCTAAACCGTAAACCCCAGACCCCTTCAAAACCCAAGCCCTGAACCCTAAACCGTGCAGGTTTGAAGCTTTTATCTTGCTTCCCCCTTAACCCTAAACCCCAAAACTCTAAACCCAGGCACCAAAAAGCCCCGAACGCCGAAACCTCAACTTCCAAGCGCAGCTCAGGCTGCTCTGCGCTGTCCAGAAAGGCCCACCGTAGTGGGAGTACAGCTGCCTCATGATGGGATCCCTAAATCCGAAACCTTAGCTGGACCCAAAAGAACCTACCATTTTTAGGGTTCCTTATTAAATTATGACGTCTTTACATAAACCCTTAGAAAGGTAGGTTATTTGGGGTTCAGGGGTTCAGCTACACTCTAAACCATAGACCCTAACCCTCAACCCTAAACCGTACACTCTAGACCCTGACGGTGTGGGGTTTAGGTATTTGCAGTTCAGGATGTCGGCTTTGGGTCGTAGGGCTCCTGGTTCAAAGTTTAGCGTCCGACAAACTACTAAATAACTACCTGTATTTTTTGGGGGGCTCCGTATTACACTTATAGTATAACATACCCCTAAACCCTACTCTAATCATGAAGGCCCCTATATTGCTGGCCCCTGTTTCCTTTGCGCAAAGGTCCCAAAGGTAGAATGCTTCGGTGAACGTGCCCGTCGGGTGCTGGCGATGAGGTTTCTAGGCTACTGGGTTCGGGATTTAGGGTTTAGGATTTCGGATATAGGGTTAAGGATTTAGGATTTAGGGTTAGGATTTAGGATTTAGGGTCTGGGATTTAGGGTTTAGGACTTTGGATTTAGGATGTAGGATGTAGGATGTAGGATGTAGGGTTTAGGGTTTAGGGTTTAGAGGGCTTAGGATTTAGGATTCAGGGCGCAGGCTCTCCACTGAAAATCATCCTCGTCTGCTCTTCGCGAGGGGGGGGGGGGGGGGGGG